ATCAGGGGATACGTTCTGCTTCAAGGTTGTTCAGACCTAGAAGACAGGTCTGTGGAGGCTGTATTTTTCAGTAGGACATAGGATATAGGCAGTCATTTAGTCTCCCTTCCCACCCATGCTGTCATTCTTCCTGTTGAAACCTGAATGGCATGGGGACCTGGGGCTGGCACAGGCTCTGCTTTCCTTCTCTATGCCCACTGGAAGTGCCTACTGTGCCTGCCTGGAGTAATGAGACAGTGCTCAGAGAACCACGTTCGCGCGAAGCTGGACAGACGGGCATCTCCTGGTGTGCGCCAGCTCCCCTCAGCTGGCTTTTCTTCCTGCCCCCCTCCCCGTGGACAACACTTAAAATTTAATTTGATTGTGGTAAAGATACAGATAAAAAACACTCGCCATTTCCAACATGCTCCCCCTGCACAACTCAGTGAAACGAACTATGTCCATGACATCGTGTCTCCCTCACTCCTGTTCATCTTGACCTTTTTCCATCACCCTTAACAGAAAGAAGCTCATGTCCCTTGAGCAGTGGCTCCCCTGTCCCTCCCCCTCAGAGCCATGAAAAGACATGGGACTCAATGCCCAGTGCTAGACATTCATATAAATGGCGTCACACAGTATCTATCCTGACGTCATATCAGACAGCCCACCATGCCTCCGTGAGGGTGGTGTATATGTTTGGTGTTTTATTCTGAGTCCTGGAATACGGGGCAAGGTGGGAGGAGGGAGGGTATTTTAGGAACTTCACCTTCAAGGTGCGATTCCTCCTTCTAGGGATGATGTGGCAGCAGGAACATGACTGGAGAGATGTTAGGAAGAGGGCTTGGTGCAGAATGTCTTCTATGGGCTACCCTGTCACTGACAGTTGGTTCCAGGTCCTGCATGAATGGGGTGGGTGAGCATTTGTCAGTGAGACTGAGGAATAGCCGTACGTAGTGGGCAGGGGCCAGGGTGCCGCCGATGCACAGTGAAGAACTCTTCTACCCCAAATGCCAGTGCCTGCCACATTGTGAAGTGGGCTTCTCAAGCCTGGCACTTAAAAAGCAAACCACCAGGTACCAATGATTGGATGCACGCATGGACGAGGACACTAGAAATGGCACCAATCACCGAAGCCCTTTACTCGCCCACACTCAACCCCAGGGCAGAAGACATCCAGGGTCCAGGGCACAGCCTTGGGCCAGTGTGTGACTTACATGGGAAATGATGTTAGTGGCTGAGCCTGCTCCTGCCCCAGCTGCCTACCCCTGCCCTTTTCTTCCCACCCAAGGGAGTGCCGGGGAGGAGAGCATTTTGATGAGATGGGTGATGACCAGGTCATTGGCCTCCACAGGGATCCGGCCTGAGCCTGCCCCAACAACCACACGCCTCCACCCCCAGAGACCACTAGTTCCCCATCCGATGCCCATTTCACATCGCACTTCCTTCAAAAACTCAGAAGAGCTTGAGTCTAACCAGCATTGGCCCAGAGACTTCATCTGACAGTGGAAGATAAGCGGCATAAATCCTCGCACTCTTGTGGGGTGGGGGGTCGGATGACCGGGGCCCGGTTAGGTTTTGATGTATGAGTCCACTTACTAGCTACACTCTGGACATTAGTACGGCTTCAGTTTCTAGAAGGTAGAAAATCCATCTGCAGGAATATGAAACAACATAGCGCCACCTCATGCTCAGGTGGAAAACAGCTTCCCTTTCCTTCATTGCCTGCACCCAAGGTTGGACAGCCAGGAGCAGATCCGGAAGGATCAGGCCCTGCACTTAGAAAACAGCTCTTGGGTACGTTGTAAGCCGGTCAGGTGAGCTGCATGCCTTGCTGGAGTTCCTAAGGGAATCAAACCAAAACCCAAACTCGCTGCCCTTGGGTCAGGGTGTTAAAAAAAGATCTCAGCAAGGTGTCAAAGAGACCAAGCTTTACTGGACGGCGGCCAGAGTGTCAGCTATGGCCTAAGCCACTCAGACCCCGAGTGATTAAAGACAGGTTTATTGTTATTTTACTTTTTTATATATAAACAAGACACACTGGCAGGTGGTGTTATGCTCTATGGAGAAACAGGAACTTGTCTAAACGTATTATTATTTTTATGCAGCAAATAAATGGCAGGTGCTGCTTCAGTTTCTGTCCCGAGGTGTATGACTTCAAGCTTCCTCAAAATATAGGAAATCGGGGGTTTACAAGCAAGAGTATCAGTTACAAAAATAAATGGTAACAGGTCAGCAGTTACAAAAAGAGTTACAGGGTGACTACAATTAGACTAATACAAAATGGTTACATTAGGCTAATTAAAGTGGCTACCACTGTTGCTGGCTCCTCGCGACTCCATAGGACAGTGTAGAACTGCCCCTGTGGGCTTCTGAGACTGACTCTTTAAAATGTTATTAATTGAGAGTTAATACTTATATCATTCCATAGTTTAATCATGTCAAGCAGTATTATACAACTGCTACCACAATCCGTTTCCAAACCTCCTTTTTCCTTCTGGACTCCTTGACATCGTCTCCCTTCCCCCTACCCCCACGCCAGGGTACCCCCTCCCCCCAAACCTCTTATTCTTGCTGTCCCTGTAGGTTCATCAGTCCTGGGTTTCATATACCACAATGCAGAAAAACATATAACACAACTTCAAGAGGGTGACCCCCAATGACCCCTCTGAGACACACCCTAATAGGAACAAACAGAAAATGCTGGAAGCCCGATCAGGTCCGGTGTGCGTCCGAGGGGGTCCACTGACGAGGTTTCAGCTGTCCCAGTCAGGCTCACCCCTTGGGTCTTCTAGGCTCCTCTCCCCCGTGCACTCTGCGTGGTAACCACTTTCCTCCCTCCTCAGTGACGGTAGAGGGAGGTCACCGAGACCGTAACTCTTCACAGCAATAGAGAGCCTGCTCTTTCTCCCAAGAAGTGGCTGGTGGTTTCAAACCTCTCACCCTGTGGTTAGCAGGCTAACGCTAACCACTACACCACCAGGGCTCCACTGGATGCCAGTTCAGGCTGCAGCTGATTTTCAGCAAGAAATCTGAAGAGAGGAGGCAATGCACATGGGCCCAGGGAGAGTGGATCTTTCTCTGGCTGGAAGCGAGCTGTGGCTTGATGCCTGAGTGGGAGGCCCACACCCCTGAGGTCCTGCCCCTCCACTTTCTTCTGCCGGGTGAGGACCAAGGAGTGACGGTGTGAGCCAACGGGGCCCGAAAGGTAGCCAGGCCCTTCCCTTCATGTGGAGTGCTGTCAGCTCCTTATGTACCTGTCTCCCACCTTCACCCCCACCCCCAGCTCTGTTCTGGAGAGCTCCTCATTTTGAACCCCCAGAGCCAGCTATAGTCGATAGTGGAACAACAATAGCAAACGCACTGCCACCGAGTTGATTCAAACTCCTAGCCAGCCGGTATAGGGTTTCCCAGACTGTAACTGTCTACAGGAGCAGAGAGCCTCATCTTTTCCTCACAGAGTGGCTGGTAGGTTTGAACGGCTGACCTTGAGCGCACCAGGGCTCCTGTGGTCTAGAGTTGTTAGGAGCCACCGAGTCAGCCCGACCCATAGAGACCCAGTGCCCAACTAATGGGAGCGCCGCGGGGGTCCAGAGTCGGTGTGCAATCACTGATTCTGGAATCAACAGTGAAGCTGAGGTCCGCACCGACAAACTCCCTGTCATCGAACCAGCTCCTCTCTGCGTGATGCTGTAAGGCAGAAGGGAGCTGCCCCGAGCAGTCTTGAAGCTGTAACTTTACAGGAGCAGAAAGCCTCGCGTTCTCTGGAGCGGCTGGTGCCTTCCAGCCCACTGACGTTCATTTTGCAGCTCCATGGGTAACCCGCACCAGCGCCAGGGCTCTGAAGCCGAGCCAGAGGTTCTCAAGCTTTACCTTACGACAGGATCATTTCTGTGGAGCTTGTTAAAACATCTCGGTCCAGGCGCCACTCCGACAATGTCTGGTTCTGTCGGTCTGGAACGGAATGTGCAGTTTTTAAAAGTTCCCAGGTGATGTTGACGCTGCTGGCCTGGGATCAAACCGGGGACCATTGAAGACCCCTCCAGAAGGCTGGCTCTGGATAGTGTAATGTGTTTCCACACCCCCCTCCCCACCCATGAAATAAGGAAGCCGCAGGTGAGGTGAGGTGAGGTCTCAGAAAGAACACGGGGCTTGACATCTGATGACCAAGATTTGAGTCCCGGCTTTGCTGTTTGTGAGTTTGGGTGTGTGTGTGTGTGTGTGTGTGTGTGTGTGTGTGTGTGTGTGTATACCCTGATGGTCTCCAGAGCAGTATTTCCCAAAGTGGGTGATACTGCCCACTGAGGGTGCTGCACCCATCTAGCAAAAGCAGGTGGCAACATTTTATCCTGGACGATGGGCTCTATCTAGTGCAAAGGTTTTTCATTGCCAGGGGTGGTGGCATGTGGAGTACTGTGTTGTTGTTTTTATCTGAAAGGGCCAATACATTTGGGAACCGGTGCCCTTGAGGGGAATCTTTGTGAGTTGATTTCCTTATAGGAACGAAGAGCTGCTGACTTCCCAGAGAGCTATTGAGTTGTTGGAAGGCACACATGAGCGTCTATAGGCGACATAGTAAATGCCAAGATTAGATGCAAATTACTATAGGAACAGGATTTGATCAAGAGAATGTACTCGCTTTTATGATCGGAATAAAAAAGTTAACCATAACCAAATGACAAATTTG